CCTGGTTGCCCAGGGAATCCGCCCTCGCTGCTTACCCCTCCTACTGGCGGTTCCTCTGACCAGCCCTGGCGACCTCTCGACCTCTCCTTGTTCTCGCACAGCCTGCCCCACTTTCACCCTCCCTGAAGGCCTTGGGTTGGGGGGGGGGTGCCTTGTCTTATAAAGAGGGAAAAGAGTAGACAGGTGGGAGGAAGCCGAAGCTGCCCCCGCCAAGACAGTTCTGGTACGGATTGGTCTGGGGGTGAAAGGGCGGTGTCTTCAGCCTCTGAGCACCACCTCCCACGTGGCTGGCCCACCCCTGGCAGTGTGCAGGTCTTCTCTGCTTGAGTGTTGACAATGTTGAGCCCAAGAGGGATTGGGATCTAAAACAGTGAGGGTCTCTGCGGCGCCCCACTGGTCCTGTCACAACGCTGGGGGTTTGGACCTGTGGAACTGAAGGGTCCTTGGTGCCAGGCCCGACTGCAGGCTGACCAGCTCTCTGGGCAAATCAGGATGAGTTGGTCTCATTAAGCCCAGGCCAGCCCAGGGCTTTCTCTGAGCCTAGAGAGAGAAAAGACCCTGGGCTGGGCTGCCCAGGATGGGAGGCCCCGTGGGAGGGTTGCTGGGCCCCTCGCAGAGCCCCAGACCCCGGCTCCCTGCTGCCTCCTGACAACTGCTTCAACCTGTGTGTCCGGATTCCTCCAGGCCCCGAGGTTTGCCTCTATTTGCCCTTCTCCTCAGCCGCCCCACCCGACCATGAAATCTAGGGCCCCAGGGGCTGGATGAGCTGGACAAACTTCCCCCAGATTCCCCAGGCCCATCACAGCCAGCTGGCCCAGCCGCGGCTGGCTCTGGCCCCTTCCCACTCCCCGCCATGTCCACCGGGCCACTGCAATCTACCCTACAGCCCCACTCGTGGGTGCTGGCGTCAGTCTCCATTTTAGCAGTTCTCTCAAGCTTTTTTTGGTCACTGACCCTTTTGCAAATTTGATGAAAGTATAAACCTCTCTTCCCAGAAGTGCTAAAACCCATTCTCAGAAGCAGTGCACCCATCTGAAGTTAAAATCCTTGGGCGCCTGGGTGGCTCAGATGGTTAAGCGTCTGCCTTCGGCTCAGGTCATGATCCCAGAGTCCTGGGATCGAGTCCCGCATCGGGCTCCCTGCTCCTTGGGAGCCTGTTTCTCCCTCTGCCTCTCTCTCTCTCCCTCTCTCTCTCTCTCATGAATAAATAAAAAAATAAAAAAAAAATCTTGAAGTTAAAATCCTTTATAGACTAAGCCCCACTGAATGGGCAAAGAGGCGCCCAGTGCACACCACTCCCAGGGCCCTAGAGAGGTGCAGTGAGTGACCATGCGTGCAGGGGAGGGGGCGGTGGCAGCTCCGAGGCCTGCCCCCATGGCCCTGTTAGCTCCCAGGCCATCAAGGAGTGCCTCCTCATAGGGCAGACAGGCCGTGGACCATCCTCAGGAAGAGGTGTGGAAGTGAGAGGCTCTTCCAGATGGGGGCCCAGCTCTGCCTTAGAGGGTTCGCCAGCCACCCAGGAAAGTGTATGAAAGGAAGGAATTTTCATCAGCGTCCCCCACCCCCGTTCCTTTTCCCTCAGTTCCTAGCACCCAGGAAGGGGCTTGAGGGAGTTCTTGACCCCCAAGATGGGGGGCCCGTGTTTGTGGGTCCCATAAGGTTTCTCACAGGGGTCTTTGACCTGAGGAGGTTAAGGACCTTGACCTCCCATGATCCGTCCCTAGTTGGTGGCAGGATTTGGATTATAGTGTGTGAGTCCCAGGTTGTCCCCCACAAGAGGAGTCACAGGCTCCGAGGGGGTCTTCAGGAGCTGGAGGGTTGTTCCTGAGGACGGTGAGGAAGGGTTCACCTGGGCTTCCCCCCTTGCCCTCCTCCGTGGGGTCTCCTCCAGAGTGACCACTTACTCCTCATGGAAAAGACTTGGGTCCTGACGCTTCACCCCCATCCAGGGCTTCTGTCTCTGATACCCTTCCCCCTTCGCCCACAGGCCCCTGTGTGCCCCTCCCCTACTTACACAACAGACTCTCTATCCCTTGGCCCCTAGAGACCTGCGGCAGCTCAGCTCGGCCCTCAGTTTCAATATCAGGGCTGGGAAGGGCACACCTGAGCAGAGGAAGAAGTGTGTGGGGGGGGAACTTTTTAGGCCGTTGCCTGGGTGATGCCACCTGAGCTGGGCGCCAGGCACCTGTTGCCTGGGGAACGGTGCGGGCGGGGCCCGTCCCTTGAGAGCAGCCAGGGCCACTGGGTTGGGACTGGAGAGAGATCGGGTTCCTGGGGCGGGCAGGGGGACATGAGCGGGGTTGGGGTGTGCGATACCGGGGGATCTGGGTGTGTTTGCAACGCGAAAGGAAAAGCTTTTACAGGGAGGAGTTGCTGGGGCAGGAGGCGGCGGCTCAGGGAGGCAGCTTAACCTCCGCTTGCGGAGCCTACCAGAGCTCCATCACGCCCCCATTCCCTGCTCCCCAGCTGGTCCTCAGTCTCCCCTTTCCTTTGTCCCTGCATTTCCACAGGCACAGAGGTTCTTTCCTTCCCCAATCCGGTCACGGTACCCCCCGCCCCAGGCTCCCCATCCCACCCCCAGCCCCGCCTTCTCCCTGTAGCTCCGGCTTCCCCAGTCGGCTTCGCTGCCCCTCCCCCGCCTCCACCTCAAAACCCCGCCTGTATCTGGGAGCCGGCCGAGTCCCTGGGTGACACCCACAGAGGGTGCGCTGCTCCGTGTGAGCCTGAGCCTCCGGCAGCACAAGGCTCTTCTCAGCTGAAGGTGGGTCAGGAGGGGCTTTGCAAGCTGGGCCAGAGGGGCGGTGGCCGGGACGTGACTGCAGGGTGGCAGGAGAGGCAGCCACTGGGCATCTGGTAGCCAACGGGACCCTCGAGAGGACACTGCTACTCCGCTGAGCAGGACTGTGAGATTGATTGGTGCGTGTCGGGGTCAGAGATAGAACTTTGAGGGGCTCAAAGCGAGGTGCTTTGCAAGAGGCCCACAGATGTGAGGACAGTCCCGGCCAAAGACACGGTCTTTCCCTCGTGCGGGGCACTGAGACCCCCACCCAGCGGCATCGGACCCACCCCTGTGAGTCACCCAGGCCGTCTAGGGTTAAGAAGACCTAAGGGGACAGATGGCTTCCACTGGCCTTGAACTCCTGGGCATGACCCTGGCCGTGCTGGGCTGGCTGGGCACCCTGGTGTCCTGTGCCCTGCCCCTGTGGAAGGTGACCGCCTTCATCGGCAACAGCATCGTGGTGGCCCAGGTGGTGTGGGAGGGGCTGTGGATGTCCTGCGTGGTGCAGAGCACAGGCCAGATGCAGTGCAAGGTGTACGACTCTCTGCTGGCGCTGCCCCAGGACCTGCAGGCCGCCCGCGCCCTCTGCGTCGTCGCCCTCCTCTTGGCCCTGCTCGGGCTGCTGGTGGCCATCACTGGTGCCCAGTGCACCACCTGCGTGGAGGACGAAGGTGCCAAGGCCCGCATCGTGCTCACTGCAGGGGTCCTCCTCCTCCTCTCGGGGATCCTGGTGCTCATCCCGGTCTGCTGGACTGCGCATGCGATCATCCAGGACTTCTACAACCCCCTGGTGGCCGAGGCCCTCAAGCGGGAGCTGGGGGCCTCCCTCTACCTGGGCTGGGCCGCTGCTGCCCTGCTCATGCTGGGGGGGGGCCTCCTCTGCTGCTCGTGCCCTCCACCCCAGATCGACCGGCCCCGAGGACCGAGGCTGGGTTACTCCATCCCCTCCCGCTCAGGTGCATCTGGGCTGGACAAGAGGGACTACGTATGAGGTGGAAAGTGTCCCTGGAAGTCTGCTGCTCAGAGCCTCGACCTTGTGCAGGATGCCCTGCTCTGACCCTTGCCGCCGACTGCTAACCCCTCCCCTGGGGCAAAACCCATTTTCTAGACGCTCCAATTGGGCCTGGCTAGACCTACTATCAGTTCCCCTGGCTGAGTCCAGAACCTCTTCAACGGGGTCTCCGCGAGCCCTTCCGCTACCTCCACCCAGGCCGAGCCAGAGCTGATGGGTGTGCTGGCCTGCCCCTGCCTCCCCCGGACGATTGCTTCCGTCTGCGGTCCACAGCTCAGGCTGGCCGGCTTCTTCCTGAGGCCACTCCTGTCCCAGGAGGCCGGGCTTCACCCAAAGGGCAGCAGGTCCTGGGCTCCAAAATAAGGAGGGGGCCCCTGCCTGCAGTGGGTCCTCTCCAGCCTGGCCACCACCCACATCCGGAGGTCCAGGCCGGGAGGCCCAGTCTGTCACCCAACCTTCCATGCCCACCTGCTGGTTGGGAATAAACAGAATTTGTACCATGGCTCTTCTGATCTGTGGTTGGGCAGGGAGGACCAGGCGGCCTTCCCTGGGGCTGTCGGCCCAAGGCCCACTCCAGGACCTGTCCGGTGCCGACCCTCGCTTGCCACGCGAGGCACAAGGATACGGAAGGTGAGCCCCTCGGTGCTGCCCTCCTCCCCCTGCCAGGCTGGCCCCCAGCAGACCCCCAGCAACACCCAAGGCAAGCAACAAAATAAGACCTGCTTTATTTAGCAAACACGGGTGAGTGTGTATGGGGGGAGGTGTGGCAGAAGTGTGCAGGGGTTGAAGGTGAGAGCATCGGGGTGCGGGGGGGGGGTGTCTACAGCACAGCCAGGACAGGACTCGGGACTCAAGACAGAGGAGCCAGAGGTCAGAAGACTTGGAGGCGGGCAGTTCTTTGGTGACTTATCATTGCTGAGGCTCAAGAGCCCCCAGGGGTTCCAGAGGCCTGACGAGGAAGGAGGGACTCAGGGACAGGCTGAAAGCACCTCAACAGCAGGCAGGTTTATGTTGGCTCACAGCTCCAGGTTGGCCTGCAAGATGGGGATGTCCAGGGTGGAGAAAGATCTAGAATCTGTGAAGCATCACCTCCTTGGCTCCATCATCCAGAGGTGAGAAATACCAACAGCAGAGCCCAGGAGAGACTTGGGTTCCTTAGGTTTTCAAATGAACTTTAAAAATTTCCCTCCTCCAAAAAGCAAAATAGATAAAAACAGCCCCCAAGCTGTCTGGATTACCATCTCCGTGTCTCCAGCTCAGGGGGTTAGGCTCCACTGTCGAGGGAGTCTCCACTCCCCTAACAGATTTAGACATAATTCTTAGTGGGGTACTCAGGGGCCCCCTGAGAGGTGGCATGTGCGGCCGATGCTGAGTATCGGGCCATATAATGGTTCGAGCCCCGGGACCCCCCAGAGGGGCAGGTACAGCACAGCAGCCCCCCGCCCAGCAACAAAAGACCGGAGGCCGCCCAGCCCAAGTAGAGGGAGGCCCCCAGCTCCCGCTTTTGGGCGTCCGACACCAGGGGGTTGTAGAAGTCCCGGATGATGGCGTGAGCCGTCCAGCAGATGGGGATGAGGACCAGGACCCCTGAGATGACAAAGATGATCCCAGAGACTAGCACCAGACGGGCTTTGGAGTCCTTGTCCTCCACGCAGGTGGTGCACTTGGCTCCCGCGAGGTAGACCAGCAGCCCGAGCAGGGCCAAGAGGAGGGCGACGACGCAGAGGGCGCGGGCGGCCTGCAGGTCCTGGGGCAGCGCCAGTAGGGAGTCGTACACCTTGCACTGCATCTGGCCTGTGCTCTGCACCACGCAGGACATCCACAGCCCCTCCCACACCACCTGGGCCACCACGATGCTGTTGCCGATGAAGGCGGTCACCTTCCACAGGGGCAGGGCACAGGACACCAGAGCATTCACCCAGCCAAGCAGTGTCAGGATGATCCCCAGGATTTGCAGACCAGCGGAAGCCATGGCAAAGTTGAAGTTGAGGGGAGCTGCACTGGGGGACAGAAGCAGACTAACGTGAAGACAGGCTGGTCCAGACCCTTTGTTCCCAATGAGCTGTGGCCACCACACAGGGCAGCGAGAGTATGAACCCAGGGAGTCAGTACACCATGGGCAGGGAACTCCTCCCAAGCCTCATTTTGTCATGGGCAAAACGAACACTTGATGTTTGAGCATGTAATTTTTTCCTTGGTTATGTGATTGTCTTGACTTAACAAGAGCGAGTAAGTAAGCGACCCAGTCCTGGCTGCTGAGTGCAAATGAGACATAAAGCCTATACTGATGCGAGTCTACCGCCCCAGCTACTTTGCATACATTTTATCAGACAGCAAAGTAGCAAAACAAAACAAAACCAGACGGCAATTTCCAGATGGCCTCCTTGGGGCACACAGATGGTGGGCTGGCTCTAGCCATGAGTTTCAAGCTCAAAACCTGTCAGTTTCAACATCAAGATTAGAGATCCAAGCTTCCTCCCACCACCCAATAGCAGTGTCCAAACCCCTCACCCCAACCTGGTTCCATACCCCCAGGAGGGTAATGACATTTGTGTCTCAGGTGATCCTTCATCTGTGGCCTTGCCTGGCCCTACTTGGCCCAGCCCAGCAGCAGTCAAACTCCAGAGGGGCAGGAGAAATGAAGAAGAAAAAAATACCGTCCTCTCACCCAAAAGCACTTCTTCCTCATGGCTACCTGCTGCCCCACTGGGTCCTGCTCTTCTGCCCTCCCTTAGGGTCACACTGAACATACCTCCAAGGTTGGGGACATTTTCTTGTGCCTCCTTGCTCAAAATGCCAACCTCTCAGGACTCAATTCCCCTAAAAGGACCTAAACCCTTGGAGTGTGTCCAGTGAACCGGCCCCTCAACAGCAGCTCCGGCCCCTCACTTGTCTCCCTTCACATCCCACTTAGTGTTGTGGCTCGCTTCGGGGGTCCGTTCTGTTCGGGGTCCTGTTGGTGCTCTCCATTACCCAAAGTTCCCGCACACGATCTGGACCTGAATTTAGCACCAGCCCCAGTAGCGTGGCCAGAGGACAGACCGTGCACTCCTCATTTGCATCCCGCCCATACCTGGCGGAGCTAAAGACCTCGGGGGAGATCGGACCGGACCGCCCAGCCCGCGCTCATCCCAACGCCGGTGTCGGCCCTCCACGCCTCTAGCCGTGTTAGCGCCGGCCCAGGCACCCGACACCGCTCCGCTCCAAGACCCTACCCCTGCCCTCGACCACTTCTCTTTCCGCACACTACGGGGCCGGCTTGGTCCGAGGGCGCCCCCTCCTGCTTTCGATCCCTAGTTCCCTTCTGAGTCCGGCCCGAAGAAGGGTCCGCAGGCCACCGGCCTGTGAGCGGCGCTGCGGGAAGGGCTTAATGGCGGCGGTATCAGCAGGGTCCGCTCCGGTAGATTAGGGGGAGGGGAGCCCCGCCCCAGAGAGCAGCGCAGGTGGGGGAAGGGCGCCCGGGTTTCGGTGCCTTTGTCCCGGGGGAGGGGGAGGGGCGTTTAACCCTTCCGTGGCTGCAGAAGGACCTGATCAGCTCTCCGCGGCTTCGGTGCAGACCCCCGCCCAGGGGCTGTGCCCCGGTGGCCCCCCCGCCCAGGTAAGTCCAAGTTCTCTAGACGCACCCCCACCCACGCCGCCACGCCCCCTGCACCCCACTCCTCGAGGAGTCCGCCTCTTCCCCTCCAACACTGGCATTTCCCCCAGGCTCACCTGCGAAGAAGCCCACAGGGTTTCGTAGGAACCGCAGAGTGTGCGGACAGGGGCGGAGGCGGGGGTCTTAAATGGGCTGTGACGTCACTGGACCACCGCCCCGGGGAGGGGCAGAGACCCCATTCCAGACCGCGGGCGCGCAAATCCCAACCTCGTCAGCTGGGGTCGCTCGAGCCTGGGGCCGCTGCGCCCGCCTGTGGCCCGGGCGCTGGGACCTCAGCTGGCTAACGCCGGCCCTCAGTGGGTCAGGGCACAGGGCATCGGGCCAGAGCTTGACCCCTGACTCCGCTACTTCCTAGTGCTGTGACCCTGGGAACTCACCTAACCTTCCCAAGCTTCAGTTTCATACTCGGAACAATCGGAGACAACAAGCCCACATTTTACTGTGTAGCTATGTCCTAAGGAAGAAATTAAAGACTTATTATTATTATTTGTTATGTCGTTATCATTATATCCCGGGGCCCTTAAGAAAGCTGCAGTTATTTTTTTTTTACATTTTATTTTATTATGTTAGTCACCATACGTCATTCGTTTTTGATGTAGTGATACACGATTCGTTGTTTTCGTATAACACCCAGTGCTCCATGCAGTACGTGCCCTCCTTAATACCCATCACCGGGCTAACCCATCCCCCCACCCCCTCCCCTCTAAAACCCTCAGTTTGTTTCTCAGAGTCCATAGTCTCTCATGGTTCATCTCTCCCTCCGATTTCCCCCCCTTCTTTTTCCCTTCGGAAAGCTGCAGTTATCTTTGAGATGGGTTGTTCGTGTCTGATTCCCACCCCCAACTTCCCGGACTTCAGCATCCACAGGACGGGGCCAGGTCTGCGTCCCTGCGGGGTCCCAGCCGCCGGCGCACCGAGTTGGTGCTTGTTGAGCGAATGACTGAACTTAGCGGGCCAGGCGGGGCGGGGCGTCCAAGAGCCGGTGGCGGGGCGGGCCGAGCCGAGGGAGCCGCCCCGGAAGGCGGGGGCGGAGGCGGGGCCGCCGCTGTCCGCCCCGGCCCGCGCGCGGCAGGCTCAGACGGCCACGGCCGCCGGACGCGCACAATGGTTCCCGGTCCACTGCGTCCGCTGCCGCGGCTCCTCGTGCTAGGGCTCGGGCTGGCGCTGCTGGGCGCGGCTGTCGGGGAGCGAGTGCCAGGTACGCCGGGCGCGGGGCCCGGGCTGGGCGGGAGGCCGCGGGGGCCCGGGGAGCCTCTCGCCGGGGATCGAGGAGCCGGCATTGGGGACCCAGAGAACGGGGCCGAACTGGGGGGAACTAGGCGGACACGGGGATTCGGGGTTAGGTGGTTTCCAGGCACCGCGCTCCCTGGCCGGGAGAGGTTCATCCCGCTCCGAACTTCATCCGCGGTCCCGGCCTCAGTTTCCCCCCTGTTCAAATGGAGGGGCGGCTTTTGTCCTAATAAGTCCAGACTCGGAAGTGGAAGGAGAAAGTTTGAGGGCGGGATGTCTCGTTCGGTGAGAAGGCACGCCCCCATCCTGTTCAGTACCTGGTCTGTCTGGCCGCAGTGACCGAAGAGTCTCGGGGGGGGGGTGGTATCGAGGGCACGGGGGTCTGCACCCCCTATACCATGTGGGGTGCCCCCTTCCATCCGGTGACTTCAGTGCCCAGCTATGCGGGGGGAGGGACTGGGGTCGGGCCCGGTGCCCAGGAGTGAGTCACCCGCCGGCTGCGGGGGGTGGTGGTGTGGGGACCCGATACCCCCCCCACAGCGTCCCGCGCTAGGCCCCCCTTTCCCCCACGCTGCTGAGTCCCGGTCGGGCCGTGCGGTCACCTGTGAGGAATGCGGGGGGAGGGCGCCGGTGACTCACGTTATTCGAGCCGGCCGACCCTGACCTCAGCCCCCAGAATAGCCGTGCCCCGCCCCAGCCTCTGACCCGCGGCCCCCTCCCCAGGCACCACCCCCTGCTCTCGCGGCAGCTCCTGGAGCGCGGACCTCGACAAGTGCATGGACTGCGCGTCGTGCCCGGCGCGACCGCACAGCGACTTCTGCCTGGGCTGTGAGTGGGGTGGGGGGAGGGACCAGGGGCGAGCAGACCCCAGAGTAGGAGAGAGTTTGCGGGGGTGGAGAGGGGAGCAGTGGAATTGAGATCAGGGGAATTAATCAGGAAGGGGGGTGGGAGGCGGGGTGGGGAAGGGATCGGATCAGGGCAGGGGCCAAGGTGGGGGAAAGGATTGGGGCTCACATCTAGGGGGCGGGGCTAGTACCGAGAGGGGCGAGGTCTAACTTGGAGTCCTGCCCCCAGGCGCTGCGGCCCCTCCAGCCTCCTTCCCACTGCTGTGGCCCATCTTGGGGGGTGCTCTGAGCCTAGCCCTCGTGCTGGGACTGCTTTCTGGCTTCTTGGTCTGGAGACGGTGCCGCAGGAGAGAGAAGTTTACTAGTAAGTGAGCCAGGCCCGCCTACCCGCCCCCCCATCATTCCTCAACATCTCCCCTGCTCTTGACCGTGCCTCTTCTTATCTTGCAGCCCCCATCGAAGAGACCGGCGGGGAGGGCTGTCCTGGTGTGGCACTGATCCAGTGACAGTGAGAGCCCTTGCCAGCAGGAGGCCCCACCCACTCACCATTCATTCATTCATTCATTCATTCTGGAGCCAGCTCCCTCACCCTAGACACAGCCAGAGCCAGACTCTTCCAACCACAAGGGTGTGGAGGGATGGGGGACTGGTGAATCAGCTCTCCAAGGCCTGGGCTCAGGCTTCAGAGGAGTCTTCCAAGGTGTCTGACTGCCCTGTCTCTGGCTCCAGGACAGGAAAGGAGACCCACGCGGGCTCACACCAGACAGATGACACTAAGGAACCGCAGCATTTGCACAAGGCGTCCCTCCCTCCACCCCCATGGCCTGAGGGCCAGGCTGACCTGAGGGCCAGACAACACCAGGCCCCACCCACTCAGATGTACTGAAATTCCACCATGGGGTCTCTGTCTGGGGGGTTAGGGACCTGTTGCTAACACTAGGGGGCTGGCCCTCTAGGGGGGCTGGCCCTAAGACACTGTCCCCCCCAACCCCCAAAGGGGGGGAAATATTTATTTTGGGGAGAGAGTTTGGAAGGGAGGGAGAATTTATTAATAAAAGAATCTTTAACTTTAAATGGTTCGCAGAGTGGCATGATCCCCAGCCCAACTTCCCAGAGCTGGAGGGAGGAGTGAGTCAGCCGCGGGGGTGGGGGTGAGGCTCTGACTCACACATTCTCAATGCCTGAGCCCAGCCTGCCAGGACCTGGCCAGGCCCCTGACCGTTTTTTCCAGGGAAGATTCTGAGAAACCCCAAGCATCCAGCGCCCCAGCCTTCCCACCTTCCTTCCCAAAGGCCTCAGGGTTCCAGACTGAAGCCTTCATTTGCTCAGCAATCTTTATTCAGTTCTGGGGGGAATGCCTCCCTTCCCATGCTCCTGTCCCTCCTGCCCCTCCCACCCCAGGGCTCTGTGGGATTCCGTGTCCTCCTCTGTTGAGGGTAGGTCCTGGGACCCAGAGACCTAGTCTGGAGAATATTCAGGACAGCTGGTCCCTCAGTGGGGATGCTGGTCTTCTCTGTTGTGGGGAAGAACGAAGGTGGGCAGAAATACTGCCCACCAGCACTCAGAGCTCCATTATCTCTCCAGCTTGGGTTGCAGGGTAGTGGGGGGTGGGGGTGTCCCCTAGCCTCAGCAGCCGGAGGGCCTCAGGGATCAGGTTCCCAGGGTAGCGCCAGAGAAGCAGCTCAGAGCAAGGGCTCCTGGAAAAGGAAATAACAGCATGGGGCTGAGGCTGGCCTGGAAGAGCCACCTCCCACCAGGTCCAGGTCCCCAAGAGCTCTTGGGCTGCCAGCACCTTCCAAGGAGCCAAGATAGGAAACAACAGAGGTTGGCTAGAAGCTAAAAATAGCAGTATGAGGCAGGGCCTAGAGACTGGCTCCAAGATGGGGTGTGATCCTCCAGAAGGCCCAGACGGTGGACAGTGGATGGTGCCTACCTGAGTGGGGGCAGAGATGGGGGGAAAGCCATGGGGGGGCTGCAGTAAGGGTGGTCATTGTGCAGGCTGAGTCGAGAGAAGTGGGTGGCCATGTTCTCTTCAGAAAGGAACTGTTTTCGCAAGGGCTCCCTGGGGAGAGACAGAAGAAAGGCAGGCTGGGATATTCACATTGGTGGCAGTCCGATGGGGACCTAAGGTGACAGAGGTCTTGTTGGGAGTCCCTCCCTGCCCCCAAACTCACTGCTCCTCCTCCAGGCGCCGCTTGGTGCTCATGGGCACAGCTCCTCGGAGAGGGGAGCTGGGAAGAAAAGAAAGCCAGGTGCACCCCACCCTCTTGGCCCCATCCCCAGGATCTGCTCTCCAGTGCCTGCAGTGTAAGCCAGGAAGTCCCCAGACCACCCGTCTCAGCTGACACCTAAGTCACCCCATCTCCCAGCCTAGCCAGCAGCCTGCCTCAGAACTCTCAGCCCAGTCTCATCTTATGCCCAAGCCCTGCCGCCTCGCCCCACCGCGTGTCATCTTGCAGACCAGCCCCGAGCCCACAGCCAAAGCTCCTGGGCCCCTGGGCCAGGCCCGCCCAGTGCCCTTACACACACCTCACGTCCTGGGCTCGGGGCGTCCCTGACGCGGCCCGTGGGTCGCGCTGGGCCCGACCTGGGGGGCCTCGTTCCAGGGGCTGCTGCAGGATCATTTGGGTTCGGGATCCCGCAGGCAGAGGGTGGGATCCGGCCGAGAGGGCGGAGCCTCAGAAGGCGTGGTCCAGCGGGAGGGGCGTGGCTTTAGGCGCGCGCGCGCGCGGCGGCGAGGTTCTGCGCAGGCGCGGAAAACGAGCGACGCGGGGCTAGAAGGCCGGTGGGCTCGGCGAGGTGGGGGAGGGGATCTGGCGTAGCGAGGCTACGGTGGGCGCTCCTTCTTGCTGGCGATCTTCGCGGCGGTCACCTGGGATCCTGAGGCTCTGGATAATACTCGGCGGCCGCCTTCGCGCCGGGCCGGCTGGCGGTGTTGGGGCTGTGCGGTGCCCCAAAGAGGAACCACTCGCGGGCACGTCCAGACTGGTGAAGCTGCGTCGCGCTGAGCGCTCTGGGATTTGTAGTTCTCCACATGGAGCGAGCTGTGCCACACGCCGTACCGCTGGGTCAGGTGAGACGGGCGTGGTGCGCGGTGCATTCTGGGGTTTGTAGTCCATGCCCGGTTCGGAAGGGGCGGCAAGGAGTCGTGTCCTGAGCTCTGTTTTGCGTGGGACTCGGACTGTGACCCGGGAGCGGGAGGGTAACACAGCAAGACCTTAGGGGCCTAACGTGAAAGTAGGGGGGTAGGGATGAGAAGTATGTTTTTCTGTACTGGAGTAATGGAGCCACTTTTTAAGCACTTATTATGAGGCAGCTGTATGCGAAGCTCGATACAGGAGTTCAGACACCTGTGACGGAGTCTCCCCTGAGCTCCATTTGACACTTGAGGAACCTTGGAGGCCAGGTTGGGTGCTTGCTCAAGGTCCCGGTAGACGTCATGCCTCAGGTGCCCCCTTCCTCACCCTGTTCTTGGAGCAAGCCCAGGGACTCAATGGGCAGGCACCCACTTGGTGGTCCGCCTCAAAGGATGGCTGAGCGATCTGGGCAGTGAGAGGCCGGACAGGCGTCAGGGGAAGCGGGAAGGAGTGTGACTCGCAGGTCCTAGATGTCCCAGGTAGCCTCCATGCAGCCTCTCCCCACAGATGGAAGTGTTTCAGGCCCTGCAGCGGCTCCACATGACCATTTTCTCCCAGAGCGTCTCACCCTGCGGGAAGTTCCTGGCAGCTGGCAACAATTATGGGCAGATAGCCATCTTCAGGTACCCTCACCCCTGCTCCCACCACCTGGTAGCTCTAGCACTTGTACCCCCTGGGACTGATGCCCCCTGCTTCTGACTATCAGGCTGCCCTCCCCCCTCCCTTCAGCTTGTCTGCTGCTTTGAGCTCTGAGGCCAAAGAAGAAAGTAAGAAGCCCGTGGTCACATTCCAAGGTGGGTGCAGCCATTGAGTCTGGCTTAGAGAACCCCCGAGTAGGGGAGGGGAACAGGACAGGGTCACTCAGGTTCTATATTTCCATCTAGCCCATGATGGGCCTGTCTACAGCATGGTCTCCACTGATCGACATCTGCTCAGTGCTGGGGATGGGGAGGTGAAGGCCTGGCTTTGGGCAGAGATCCTCAAGAAGGTAAGGATTGTGGAACTGGGGGACGGGCTGGGGTTCCTGGGCCCAAAGAGCCTCTGACATCATCCAGTGTTTCCCTCCATGAAGGGCTGTAAGGAGCTGTGGCGGCGTCAGCCCCCATACAGGTGAGCTAGGGCCATGTGGGCAGAAGGTACTTGGGGGTGAAGGTACTGCCTCATCAGAGCTGACCTCGCTTTCTCTCTCCCAGGACCAGCCTAGAAGTGCCTGAGATCAATGCTTTGCTTCTCGTCCCTAAGGTCTGATCCCTTTGTGACTGGGGCTCTACTCTGCCCTGTTCTTGGTCCAAACTTAAAAGCCTTTCCCCTCTTCCTGTCCTGATTCGACATTGACTTGCGATTCCACCCTGCCTTCTTCTGTAGGAGAATTCTCTCATCCTGGCAGGGGGAGATTGTCAGTTGCATACGATGGACCTCGAGACTGGGGCCTTCACAGTGAGCAAGCCATGGAGCTGGGGTGGTCAGGGCTGGATGGGAGTAGGGGCATTCTTCCTGGATCTCCTCCTGACAGCGGCCCTCCTCCTGCAGCGGGCCCTCCGGGGCCACACGGACTATATCCACTGCCTAGCACTGCGGGAGCGGAGCCCTGAAGTGCTGTCGGGTGGCGAGGACGGAGCCGTGAGACTTTGGGGTAAGTTAGTGTCCGGTTGGAGGGAAAGATGAGATGGTGGCGAGGGAGACTGGGGCCAGCTGGGCTCTTCTCGTGGTTCTTTCCCCACAGACCTCCGCACAGCCAAGGAAGTCCAGACCATCGAGGTGTATAAGCATGAGGTGAGGGCATGCGCCATGCCGTGTCCTCCCTTTCACCTCTCTGGGCATCCCCTGTATCTTCATCTGCTTCTCTCTTCCCGTCCTTCCCCCTAGGAGTGCTCGAGACCCCACAATGGGCGTTGGATCGGATGTTTGGCAACTGACTCTGACTGGATGGTGAGCAGGGCGAGGTGCAGAATGGGGTGACCGCTCTGGGCCCTGCCAGCTGAGGGCCTGAGCTTACAGTGGCTGGGGATCCCCACCTTTCTGCCCAGGTCTGTGGAGGTGGCCCAGCACTCACCCTCTGGCACCTCCGATCCTCCACACCCACCACCATTTTCCCCATGCGGGCGCCACAGAAACACGTCACCTTCTACCAGGACCTGGTGAGGCCCTCTGTCTTGCTTCTGCCCCCTTTGCCCAGTTCCCCTCTCCAGTTCTGACCCCCGACCCCCCTCCCTGTCCTCCACAGATTCTGTCTGCTGGCCAGGGCCGCTGTGTCAACCAGTGGCAGCTGAGTGGGGAGCTCAAGGCCCAGGTGCCTGGCTCCTCCCCAGGGCTGCTTAGCCTCAGTCTCAACCAGCAGCCAGCAGCACCCGAGTGCAAGGTGGGTCCTGCAAGGGGCTGCGGGGGTCCGGCGGGGCCACATGTGTGGACAGGCCAGTCACCCCCCTCTTGCCTCCAGGTCCTGACAGCCGCAGGTAACAGCTGCCGGGTGGATGTCTTCACCAATCTGGGCTACCGCGCCTTCTCCTTGTCCTTCTGACCTCTGGCAACACCTCTTCCATCCCGGGGATTTGGAGTGCTTTTTTCTTTTTTTTAATAAATAAATTTTCAGGCTATTTTTCCATTCATGTGCTTCCCAAGAATGGAGGCCAAGTCGGTGTAATGATTTTTATATATTAACTCTGTTTGATCTTGATACATAAATACCCACCCCCATCTCTGCCCTGGAGCATGTCAGGCGCAGGGTGCTTAGAAAATATAGGTCTATATAAATTAAAAACTCAGCTCTGCCTCACCTGCCCCGCCACCCACCTGGGGCCCTTGGCCCCCAAAGCTGGCCCCTGCTCCCACTGAGCCTTTGCCCAGCTTCCCGGGGCGGGGAGGGCACCAGCCCCCTCTGGAAGACAATCAGGGCCCTGGTCCTTACAGTGGCCAGAAGAAAGTGAGCCAGAGGTCATG